CTTATTAAAACAATTTTGCCTGAAGTTTTTACTTACAGATTAAATTATTAACAATCCTATCTATATCATGCTACATTGTGTCAATAATGGATGCAAAACACTAAGACAGTTATAATGGATAAAAGAGATGAAACAGAGACATAGGGACTTAATGTATCACAATCAAGAGAATCTTAAAAATACCTTTTTCTTCTGTTTTCTACTAGGAGGTACATTGAAGTCTGTGAACGTTGCATCGTATTTTCGTGGAAAATAAGAATGTTGAACTATAAAACAAAAGATCCATAAATGTTTACAACTATACAATTAAAACGTTATTTACTATAGCATGACACAGGTACCTAGGTAAGAACACTAAAAAAAATCTCTTCTGGGAACCAGCAGTTAGCGTAATGGCTATGTCGCTGGACTCCCACATAGTCGACCGCGGTTCGTGTCCCGGACCCGGTGGCTTAAAACTCACGCCGGGCGCGTGTGCGTGCGTGCCCAAGATCCCGAGAGGAGAATGGAGGAGAAGGGATTGCGGCGTGACCATCCCCCCTGGGGGGTGATTTCTCGCTTTCTGTCTCTATGTCTCTCTCTGTCTGTCTGGCGAGCGCACGCGCCCTAAAGTGAAAATCTCTCAAAAAAAAAAAAATCTCTTCTAAGAATAGTAGTTTAAATTAATAAAGATTAAGACTAGTCTACCAAATAAGCCAAATAAGCTTTTTTTTAAAAGTCTTTGCCATAGGGCAAATGCGCTCATGATAGAGAGACAGTGAGAAGGAAAATGAGAAATCACCCCCTGGGGGGATGGCCACACTGCAATCCCTTCTCCATTCTACTCCTGGGATTTTGGGCATGCACATACACACACCCAGTGTGATTTCAAGCCCCCAGGTCTGAACTGGAACCATGGTCGGCCGGCCACATGGGAGTCCAACACCCCAGTCGCCCTGCTACCTGCTGGCTCCCCAAATAAAGTATTTTTTAAATAAAGAAATATTGGTGAGATTATAAAGAATAGGAGCAGATATTCTAAGTTGATAAAATTCCTCTATTTATTTAGAATATTAGAAATGTAATTAGTATAATACCTACTGCAGCTCCTCAGGCTTCAATTTCACGCCAGGGAAACAACCTTGTGAAACACATCTCCTCTTAAACCCCACTGCACCTTTCCATTTCACGCCAGGGAAACAGAACCTTGTGAAACGCGTCTCCTCTTAAACCCCACTGCACCTTCCCATTTTTACTGTCATGATCCTTCTCAGAAGCCCTGATCTTTCACCTAGATCACTGGGACAGTCTTCCAGATTATCTTTCAATCTCTAAGTCTTCTCTTCCTACTTAACCTTTCATACTGACACCACAAAAACAATTCTTTAACCCAGCTCAAAAACATCTGCAAACGGCTTCTAAGAATCCTTTGATTACATTTCAGTTTATTTTCTTACCCTGCCTCTTCCTCATACCTTCCACACACTCTGCCTCAGTCACACCAGCCCCACTGCAATTTAAGGAACTAGTTTTTTACTGACACCTCTTTGCCTCTATCTAAAAAGGATCTCTTTCCAAATCCTACACATCTCCCAAGACACTTCTTCCAAAAACTTTTCCAATTCCTCTAAAATCATCTTTTTTATGACTCTATCAATGGTCACACTGCATTGTGATTTACATTTATTGAGCCTGTCTCACCTTACTTGCAGGGCCAGCAGGTGGTGTTGTGGTTCAGGTGCTGGACTCCCACATGTCTGACTACAATTCAAGGTCCAGACCTGACAGCTTCCTTTCTCTTTCTCTCTGCCTCTCTCTGGTGAGTACACATGCTCTGTGACAAATTAAATAAGGGACCAGCAGATGGCATAATGGTTGTCTCATATAGTCAATCATGGTTTAAGTCCTGAGCTCCACAGCTTAAAACTCATGGGGGAGGGGGGGGAACAAGCAGTTAGCATAATGGCTACATCACTGGACTCCCATGTAGTCAACCGCGGTCTGAGTCATGGACCCGGTGGCTTAAACTCACGCAGGGCACGTATGCGTGCGTGCCCAAGATCCCGAGAGGAGAATGGAGGAGAAGGGATTGCGGTGTAGCCGTCCCCCATAGGGGTTGATTTCTCACTTCCTCTTGTCTTTCCAGCGAGAGTGCCCTATAGCAAAAACCTCTCCCCCCCCAAAAAAAAAAAAAAAAAAACCTCATTGGGGGGAGGGGAGAAGGGAAGAAAAACTACGCAAAAGCCTAAAGGAAAAAAAAAAAAATCATGCTGGGTATGTGTGTTTACATGCCCCAAATCCAGAGAGGGGAATGGAAGAGAAGGGATCATGGCGTGGTCATCCCCCCTGAGGGATGATATCTCACTTTTCGTCTCTCTCTCTCTTTGTCCTTCTGGTGAGCACACGTGCCTTATAGCAAATCTCCCTTAAAAAATTAATAATAATCTCATGGTTCTAAATACAATCTAAATGTTGATTATGCTTAAATTTACATCCCTAACCATATGTCTCCCCTAAAAGCAGAGGCTACTAACCTATTCAACACCTCAACTGGACAGAAATATGTTCCAAACCCAACTCCTGGTCTTCCTTTCTCATCTGCTCCACCTACATTCTTCCCTATCTTGGTTAGCAACTCCATCACTCCCAGTTGTCTGGCAACAAAAACTTTAAGTTATCCTTGTCTCCTCTTCATCTCTTATTTCACAAAGTATCTTTCAACGAATAATGTTGGTCCCTCTTTTGAAATACACTGAGAATCTGCCGACTTGTCATCACATCCCCCACCCCCAGCTCCACTTTGGCCCTAGTCCCTTTCACTTGGACAACTGCAATAACTTTCTAACTGGTTTCCCTTTCAGTCAACTCACAGGGATGGACACATGCATCCACTTAAAACATAAATTCGGTTATCAGTCCTTGCATCGCCCATCTCAACAAAATCATAAATTCCAACCATCTACAAGGTCCTACCAGGTCTGCCCTCATCCCATATCTTCTACAGGCATACCCAGATTCGGTCTTCTCCAGACACACTAGCATTCATTCTGATGTACAGCTCCTACCCCAAGGCCTTTCTTTGCACTTGCAGTTCTTTCTGCTTGTATCCTTTTCCTCCCAGATTATGCAAGGTTCTAATCCCACACCTCCCTTATGTTTTTGCTCAATGTCGACTCCCTTATGACCCACAATGACATTTAAAACAGTACCATCTATCGCTCTTCTTTGTTCTAGCTTTCTCACAGTACTCTTTAATACACAAGGTTTGATTTTATTATGTTTCTCTACACTAAGCAAACATTAAGCTACATAAAGATAAAAATGAAATATATCCCTCCACTGCAATGTGTCCCGTCCCTGGTATATAATAGAAATTAAATAAGTAACTGTTAAAGTGAATGAAAAGGCGAAGAAAACATTCCAGTCGGACGTATTTCGAGATGTAAATGACCAGATACAAGAATGCAAAGCAGGGAACCAGCAGTTAGCGTAATGGCTATGTCGCTGGACTCCCACGTAGTTGACCATGGTTCCCGTCCCGGACCCAGTGGCTTAAAACTCACGCCAGGCGCGTGTGCATGCGTGCCCAAGATCCCGAGAGGAGAATGGAGGAGAATGGAGGAGAAGGGATTGCGGCGTGACCATCCCCCCTGGGGGGTGATTTCTCGCTTTCTGTCTCTCTCTGTCTGTCTGTCTGGCGAGCGCACGCGCCCTATAGCGAAAACCTCTCCAAAAAAAAGAAGAATGCAAAGCAGAATGGAGATGGAAACTGACGAGGAGAAAGGTAAAGGGGAGGTTCAGCTAGGAAAAAGTGCCTACCTGGGTTGTGGGACTTCTGATGCCGAGGGAAATTATCAGGAGACGGTTTCCAGCACCATGCTGTCGAAGCCTGGAAATTCCAGGAACGCTGGCCGCTGAGCTGAGGCTGGGAATCGAGGGGGTATTGGGCGTCGAAGGGGGGCTGCGCTCCAGGAAGAATCTGGGCGTCAAAGGGGGGCGGCGCCCCGGGGAGAGACTGGGCCTCCATGGGGGGCTGCGCCTCCGAGGAAGCCTCTAACCTGGCTGCAGGAGACGACATGGAAGGCGGTGGCGGCAGCCTGGGCCAGAGCATCCAGTTGGCCCGGCGCGAAAGAGGAGA